TAAAAGAAGTCATTACTCGTGAGAGGAGTGCTTACCGTCCCTGACATCTCCCGCCTCGATCTCATCGACTCCATTGACGACACAGTTATTGATTTCCTGTTCAGAGATGGCTTTCTTCACTTCCCTCTTCTGCTGCCAGCCTCTGATGTAGTGCTTGAGGTTAGAGCTCGGGTCAGACATTCGCCGCTGAATGTAATCGTTTTCCTGGTCATCAGATTTCACACAATCAGTAAATAGTGATACAAATGGATAGACGGGGTCTGGAATAACCTTTCGGACAACACTCTCATTGTATTTGAAACAACAAATCATATAATCAATGCTTACTTCCATTTCGTCCTCCAATTGAAAACTAGTCAAAGAGAAACCCGGTTCCGATGTGGGGGTCTCGCAAGTGGCGCCCTTTTGTTTGGCGACAGCCATTTCGGCGATCCCTTTGCCCGACGGCCCCTTCATTCGCACGAATTCTATGCGTTGCTGTCCCTGGAAGTAGGGTTTAGGCGTTTTCCTGGCGATCCGAGTCGACACACTCGCCTAATAATCACAAAAATCGTTTAAAATATAGTAATTTTTAGTTTTAAATAATGTCATTAAAATACTGAACTGTTATTAGTTTTATGGCTTAATTAAAAATCTAATAAATATTCTTTTATATAAAAGAATCGTGGCATAATATAAAATATCTCAAATTATACACGGTATACTTGAATTATAAATTTTAAATTAAAATATTCTCATATAAAATAAATAAAATTAGAAAATCCATAGAATAATGAATAATAAGCTAATATACGGTATTATACAGTAATAGTAAGTTAGACAAGAGATTGAGTATTAATACTAACTCTGGCGTCATGTATGCGCTTAAGGGCCTGGTATTGAATGGATCCGAGAAATATAATTCCCTTGGCGTCCCCTGTCTTATCAGTGGCTAATAACTCGACGCAAACCATTTCGCCGTCTCTGACGAGTATTTCGGATAAAAGCTTTCGAGTAATCAATTGATGAGAAAACAAGTTAAATGACAGCCTTTTGTATATAATAATGAATAAATTCATGAATACTTCGTCATAATTATCGACAGTGAAGAATATGTTGGGATAAGAGATCTCTTCATTATCTCCCTTACAATCCATAGACCGACGACTGGGAGATGCGAACACTTTTTGTGTAAACTTTTTCAAGATTTGCAACTCTTTAGGACTGGTCCGGGTACACACGGCACACGTCATACTGTACTCGAATTTTTGCATAATTACGTTCAGGTATAGGGTTTCCTCCCAATCGATGTCCGGCTCACCGATTGGCAGTCGTTTCGAGTCCTTTCGAAACACATCTATTCGCGTCTATATTACCAATACATCCATCAATGCATTAGTTTCACATCAAAAACACATTTCTTATATACATTTCTTCTAAACGTTACGAATTGAATGACTTCTTAATTAGAAGTTTGCGTTACTTTTGCACATTCATTAAGAGAGCATTGATTTCAAATAAATATAAAATAGTAGAAAAATAAAATTTACATATTTTTGTTAAATAATAGAATTGTAAAATGAATACAAGAATTGAGTAATATTTTAATGAATTAAATTATTTATGACAAGAAAATAATGGCAAAAATGGAGATATACTTCATATTGAGAGACATAACGGTTCCCCTTCTTTGGCTTCTTCCTGACGAAGAATAACATGTCGTCGTGAGAGACATCCTTTGCCTTAACGAAGTGTCTCACAAACAGATCCGTCCAAAAGAGATCAGACGAAACCATTACAAAACCACCCGATTCTGTAAGCCAGGCATAAATTCATGAGTATAAATCATATAAATATTCAAATGAAATGAAATGATCCTATTTTTTGTGCAAAAAAATCTTTTCCCAAAATGTCATCAACTTTGAAATGAGTGTATTTTATAAAATATCTATGCATTGGTGTAATATATACAATTTTCCAAAGCTTTATTAACCAATTTGTTTTCTTATTGAATGAAACAGTTTCTCTGTTTGAAAACCTCTGTTTGCATTCAACAAAACTAATAAAGTTATATAAGG